GAGAGAGAGAGAGAGAGAGAGAGAGAGAGAGAGAGAAGGAAAGAGAGCAGGGCGAGCGCGCGGGCGCGCGCACTCGCGCGCTCTGAAATACGCTCCAGAAAGGCGCGCTCAGAGAGAGAGAGAGAGAGAGAGCGCGCGCGCAGGGCGAGCGCGCGCGTGCTCGTGTGCTATGGAGGGCTTACTGGGCTCTTATCGTCCTCTTGTCCTCTGTGCTGGGCTCTGTGGCTGGGCCTTGTCCTCTTCTTGTCCTCCTCTTGTCCTTGTTTTGGCCGCGCCCCTGAACTCTGTGGCTGGGCTCTGTGGCCCGGCTCTGTGTCCGGGTCTTGTCCTCCTCTTGTCCTTGTCTTGGCCGCGCCCCTGAACTCTGTGGCTGGTCTCTGTGGCCCGGCTTACTGGAGAGGAGTGTGGCCGAACAAATAGCGATGTCAATGCCGACAAAAATTCATTGATGAAGCAGTTTGCTCTTGGGGTGAAAGTAGGGCGTACCAAGAAATCGATTTTGGACTGATATTGGTCTAAACGAATCGTTTTGAAGCTGTTTGGGGTCTATGCTTGTATAATTTTCTTGTAGTTGGATTCTGTAGGCTAAGTGTGCAGATGGTGACGGAGCAACAGCAGCCCCGGAGACCTGACCGGTGTAACTTGCCTCTAGCATAGACAAAAACATTCTTTTTAGGCCCAAAGGGATCAAAAAACGCTGTCCAGTGATGGGGAAGGGCTGTCAAAACGTCCTTTCCCGATCGTGCGTGGAAAAGACTGCTTCTTTTGTTCACGATCTCACAGGCCATGTGGGCCGCGAAGCACGGTCATTCAGAAGCGTCCGGGTCCCAGTGTGAACGACTACAGGAAAAAACACAAGTCATCTTTGCAGGAGTTGAGTAAAGTGAAGCATCTTTTGAGGCCAGAAGTGTCACCCTGTTTCTCAGCGTTTTTTGTCAGTGGCCGCAGCAAAGGCTGGTGGTCTCTGGCAGTTTGTACCGAGGCTGGCTGTCTTGTTGGACAAAGGCGTGGCAACAAGTTGCGATGGGTTTGTGAAGTCGACTTCGATGCAACCAGCACACCCTCTCTGTTTCAGGCCCTGAGGGCCGGTTTGGATTGGCACCCAAGAACACCAAGCTGGACACATTTCAGGAACTTGGCTTTGGATCCTCAAAGCCAGGCTCTGGATATCTCTTTCTTCAACCTTTACACTCCCTGGAAGTGGAACATGACCCCTTAGAAAAAAAAACATTTTGCTCCATGTTAGTAGACGGCTTTTCTGATCCAAAGTTTACAAAGCCAAAGACCTAAGGAACAGATTCTGAAGCTATGCTGACCCTCAAGTTCCTCAGCGGGTTCTTCAAAGACCTTCCATAAATGCTTTACTTTTGAAGGGGTGTTTGCTCACCATGGGCTTCTCCCGACTGAAAATCCACAGGAGCGGCCAAAGCCTTCCACGCCCAGAGAGAGAGAGAGAGATCACACTTACTGGAATGGGTTTCATCCATTTGCAGAGTCTAGTCTACCGCGTGCCTTTTCGCGTGCCTTTCAGGGTTCTGGGAGGGTTCCAGCGTCGGGACTCGATCATCTGCCTTTTTCCACGCGGCCAATTCAGCGATTTAGGCACCCTCCTCCTTCTCCTCCTCCCTCTTCCTGAAACCACCGCTTTGAAAAAAGCAGACGACTCGGAAATACACTCTTGCAGCCTGAACACTGGGTCCATGGGTCAAGAGGAAGTTAGCACATCGAAGGCCCCCCCAGCACAGACCTTCGAGCGAGTGCCAAAAGGACCTAACTAGTCATAGTGCCGCAGTCGTCAGAATTCTTGGCCCACCATTGAATCCCAAGCAACCACTGTTTTACTGAGGATTTTAGACGACAACCCGTGGTCAAAACATTTGTATAATGGTCTTCTGGGAACGTCCAGTCATTCAGTTCAGAACTTTCGCTCCTGGTGGTACCAACAAGAGACCCCAAACAGTTTTCAGTCTTCAGTAGATCACGATGAGCAGGATGATGATCATGACCCCTACTGTGAGCACACTCTTTGGGAAACAAAGTACGCCAGCACAGACCCCCGATAGAAAAGGCAGCACACTGCAGCGGCACTCTGCAGCACCCTCCTGCGGTGCCAGCACCCGCTAGAAATCAATGGTTCCGGGGGTCTGCAAGTATCCAAAAGTCATTGACTGCCCTAGGAGTCGAACCAACAATTTTTTTACTAGCCTGAATCCTGAACAACCACACGGCCACACAGGCACCTCTTCCTATACTTGAAGTAAGAACTCCCATAGCTCTCGCTATCTGGGAAAAAACACCGAAACCTGCACCGGAAATGCACCGAAAACAGGCTTCGATTTGAACATCTCCGACAAGTTCGGCCTGGCCGTCGCAGACCATGCGTCCGGGAGCTAAATCATGGTGGAGAGGGGGAGCCAGATGAACGGCAGATGAAAGCCCCATGAAACACTCATCGTTTGGCTCAGTGGGCCACGAAGAAATCCGTTGATTGTCGGATAGAGGGTAGAAGATGGCAATATATTTCAAGAAATTCCGTCCAGTCCATCCTAACAAACATATCCACCTTCTCCTAAATCACTCCTCCATCATATTCTATTTGTTTGAAGGTCACCATTTGTGACCTTTTCTGGTGAAGTCCACTAGAACACAGGCACCAAACGCCTTTCACAGCCCGCCTTCGACGCGCAGTTGCCCAGGCAAGACCACCTGCACCTTCGCTTGGCGCTACTTGAGGCGGAGCAGCGGAACCAAGCGCTGCTGAAGGCCGCGCAGCGTCCGGGGACCCGCAGGTGGGAGGCGCAAGAATTGGAAGAAGGGTGCAGGTTGGAGGCGGTGGAACTGCCATGGTTTTGATTTGATGTTTGAGGTCACTGGCAGAGAAACGACAATTGAAGAACGGCAGTTAGAACTGAAGGAGGCAGAATCCCCGAGCCGCTCATGATCTTCTTTTTTTGCCTTTTAACCAACAGATCCCGAATCCCAAAAGGCCAAAGAAGGCCGATGGATGCTTTGGATGCGTTTCACAAAGCTGGTGTCATGATGTCATGCTTGAGGTAAAAGTCCCATGTTGATCAACATGTGGGGGCCCAGCCCTTTTGGGTACGCGCTGGGGGTTGTTTAAAGAGAACATCTTCACATCACCGGCACGTCAGACTGAGGTGGCAGCAAAGATGGAGTCTTGCAGGCGAGAATTCGTCCAGAAAGAGTGACTCGGTCCTTGGTCCTTGCCTTACAATGCAAGATGGATGTTGAAGATTGAAGAGACAACGGCGCATTGAGCTTCACCAAATCATATATCTTTCTGTGCGTCGGTGAAGTTCAATGACAGGAACATCCTCCAACTTTTTCTTTCTTTTTGCTGGTACTTGGTTTCAAGATAAACCTCAGTTGTCCTTGACACTTCGGATGCACTTTTATGATTTTGATGAATGACGTGGGGAGAGGCCCTGGAAGAAGGAGCCTATGTGGATGCCAGAGACGACCAGGGTTGGACTGCCTTGGTTTGGCATTTGTCTCAGCGACAGTGAGTCTAAGTCAGTGAGACAGGTAATTGAAAGACAGGTATTGAGCAGGGGGTGACCTAAGGCTCGACATGTGGATCGTAGAGCTATGCTGACGTGATCTGACGTGTGTGTCTATTATCATTTTTGATATTGCTTTTTTTTGGTTCAAACTTTTAGCGCCTTATGAAAAGACAGTCGATTTGAACATGGACCACATGAACAAGTAGAGGGCAACAAAGAAACTGTCGTGGTCTCTCAACTCTTCTGTGGCCAGGGCCACAAAGAACAGTGTGTATTTTTCCAGACTTGTAACGTCCATGTTTGCCCAGGTCAATGATGGGCTGCTGTGTAGATCTCGGTGGTCGCCGTATCATTAAAAAAGCCGATCCCGTCGTCCCGGACTCCCAAAATTGCCGCGACAGAAGGGCCGTGCGCCGCACCGAATGATTCGCCGAGAGAAAGGAAAAGGCGTGCAAGCTGGGGGGGCGTTGAGGTCTTGAACGAGTGCTCCGAGGCGCGGAAGGGATGGTGGTCCGGCTGGTCCTCACCTTCCCTGGTGGAATTGGTTCGGGCGGGAAACAAGCGACTGGACCCAAGACATGTTCGTTTTCGAGATCGAGAAGCCGCTCAGCCAGCTCGGCCTGGAGGCAATCCCGGATTCGACAAAGAGTGAGGAGCTTGCTGGAAGACCGAGGACCTCCATTTCTCATAGCCCAATATCGAAAAGTCTGCTTGTGGTCCTTGTGGTAGATGAAGATACCCACCCAATCACTCGCGGCTACTGTTGCATTGGTGACACCAGGTGCCCATCTCTCTAATCCTGTCAGTAAGTTTAAGAGAATTACCGATCGACCACTGGGTGGCTCGAGGTACAGAACTGGTTTCTACCACAGTCTGCAACCTACGATCTACACCCAGCCACACAACGGTGCATCCAGCAAGACCGCCTTTGGTTCTCCAACCATCGACCTTCACCGAGTGGCACCCCAAAAGCACCGGGCGACGCGAAAACCCCGCGCGCGACGCTTGGGTCAGGTGCTGGACCACCTGCACCTCCAGGGTGACCAAGTCCGACGGGCCTTGGAAGCGTCGGGGGCCCGTGATCGTGGGTGTGTGGACCGGTCCTTGTGGATCCTTGTCAGGTTTGGTCGGCTTTTTGGGTCTGAAGAAAGATCTAGGACGTCAGGGATGTCAACTTGATGTGAAACACTCATTTTTTCGATCTAGCTGCTTCAAAACCGAATTGGTCACCACTGATTTTCGGCTTTTCTTTCAAGTCGATCAAGGGACGGGTTTGAAGAAGGATTTGGCTTGAAACTGGTAGCTGAATCGGTTTACGGTTTACACTGCGCGTTAGCCACAAGCAGTGTTTTTCCATCTTCTTCTGTTGGGAAGGCTTCATCAGTTTGGCCGAAGCTTGAGGTGCTTTGAAGAGTTGACATGAAGTTTCCAGAAAATTTCGATCCTTCCAACCCGAGTTTTGAAGCTTTGATACGCTTCAGAATGGACAGGACCTCCGGTCTGAGGGGCTTCTTTTCGCGGTCGGAGGGGGATTCCTAAAGGTCGATTTTCAGGACTTTTCTTCATGACAAGGAAGCTTTATGACAAGGCCACCTTGTGTTTGAAATGGTAGCACTCCAGAACGCCCACATTCTTCCACATTAGCTTTGTTCAATTGATCAGCTCTATTTGGGCGTTTCGGATCGTGCAATCTGTTTCTATAAAGCCTACTGCATTCATACCATGCCGAGGGCGCTGGCTGGAGGACTAGGAGCTGGTGAAAGGCTGTTGGCTGCAGCACGGATCAACAACTTTCAGGCCGAAGCGAGATGGGTTGTTTTGGGGAAACAGGACTTATATAACATTCCAAAACCATTCAAAGCGTTGGAACTCAACACTAATCGAATTGACCTATTGTCATGGCTGTGATCTTGTGGAATCATCCATCTTGTCAATAGTTCCACTTTGTGTTATTGCAGGACAGTAAAGGGAAACCCAGCTGTGGTGGTGTCCCATGAGAGATTTATACCTACAAATCCGTCTGCAACATGCTTCCCCTAGACCCGTGGCCCGTGAGAGTTCCAACCTCCTCGGCTGGCTTCACGGCGGCCCCTTTCTCTCGCTCCGTGCCCGCTCCGCGCCTGCTCCGAGCTCAGGTGGTCAAGGCGGAGCTGGATGTTGGAGCTCAAGTCAATAGCCCCTTCCTCGAAGGGGTGTCGCCAGCCGACCGTGAAAATGACATAAAATGACCACAGGGTCGGAGAAAGAGGGGACGTGGAAAGGCCAAGAAAAGAGATGGAGTGCAGATTGCAGGTGGGAGAAGGCTTCTCTTTCTTTCAAGAAAACAGGGGTGTGTGTGGGGTACGGGTACATGCCATCCGCTTTAGGATTGGATGGCTTTAGCCCCCAGGCCAGACCACTGAGCAGCTCTTTACAAGCTTGATCTTTGCGGCAGCTCATTGCAACTACCAGGCAAGACCGTTGAAAGCCGAAAGCTGAAAAACATCGAGGCTGTCAAGAGTCTTCTTGCGAGTATCACAGAGCTAGTCTGGTGGCCATACAAGGTTCACAGAGCTGAGCCGTAAGTGATTGGGGGGTTCGTAGCTTCTTGGTTTTGCGGTTTCATACCGTTGATGGGTGAAATTGGCACGATATCTCTAAGATATTGCAAGCCGAAGGGGAGTCAGTCAGAAGGGATGTATTATATTCACACTTGCATGTAGCTTGCGTGTGCAAGTTTGATGTTCACAAAAGTCACCAAAATGTCCCACCGGGACATTTTTGCTCAAGTGAGTGGCAGTGGCGTGACACTGCAAGATCTGAAAACCCAGCTCTCCCTGTCGCACGACAACTTCTCGACTGACGCTATGCCTTCGGCGACTGACACGGGACTTGCTGTGAGGATGAACTCCTTTTGAAGGAGAATGGTTCGAAAGGGCTTTTCACAAACATCCTTGAGACTACACCAACCTGAAAGCCTATTACTTCGGTGTCCAGAGGAAAAGAAGAAAGCTCGGAAACCTATTTTCACAAGTGTGGGTGTCCAAGCTGCCAAGAAGCGTAACACGGCCTTGTTTTACAAAAACAGTGGAGGCAGAAGTTCACAGAACTCCTTCCTTGGCTGTGGAACGCCAAGTTCATGGGAGGCTGAGGAGCTCATTTTTTCAGAAGGGCACGCCATTGGGCCTGCGTTTTGGAAACCTGTACTAGGCCTAAGTTGTATGGAACGGCGCTGAGGTTCTTTGGAAAGTTTTTCAAAAAGCAATAGAAATCGCACACAAAAGCACATTCAAAGAACAAAATTCAATGATCTTTGGGAAAGCAAAAAACCAGAGACTCTTGGCAGGAGCCCCCCGTTCCACAAGACTTCCCCAGAATTGTTGTTTTTAGTTTTTTGGTTTTGGTTTGCCATTGTTTTGTTTTTTGTTGAACTTCCTATTTTTGTAAAGCATTTTCCTTCCTAAGACAATCTGTGCTGCTCCTATCTCGTTTTGCTTTAGTCTCACCTAAAGTCATCTGTACTTCTTCTTACAATTGAAAGCATCTGAGCCCAACCGTCCTTGTCCAAATATCTATGTACAAGTCTGTGTGCGTTGACCTCTGATTGGTATCCGTGCTGTTGAATTTTAAGCAGGTTGACATATGAAACTTTAATGAACAGGTGGAAGCCGTAGTTCTGATTCAATCCTAGTTCAAGTTTAATTGATTTTGGTCCAATCTATGTCTAATTCACCTCTAGTCTGATTCTAAGTTATTTCCAGTTTACGCCTAACTTGATTTCATTTCAGTGGAAGTTTCAATCTAGTTCAGGTTTAATTCAACTTCTAATTCACTTCAAACTAACCCCAATTGCATTCCAAAATTTTTACGTTAAATCATTCCAACTCAGTTCTAATTCAATCTAGATTCCATTCTACGTTCTACTTCAATCTAATTCTATATTGATTATGTTTTAGTTTTTTCATCCTAATTGGTGCAAATTGACTTCGAATTCTTCACATCCAAACCTACTTGAATTCTGATTTAATTACGTGCTATTGAGGGCCGGGGCAGGCTACCACATAAAAGATCTTAAGAAAACAAATGCAACAAAACCATGTATTTTACAGTGTTTTCTTGCCCTGAGAGTGCTGGGAACTAGGTCAAGATACTGTTGTTGAGTAAATAGCGGCTAGATTGTTCTACAAGTAATCTCTAGGAATAATCGTTTCTATATTTCAAGAAAGCTTTTTGTAAGAGCTTTTCTTTCAAGAGCATCGCTCTAAAAATCTGGGAATGACAGTTTCTGTAGTTAAAAAGCCCTAGATAAGAGCGGTCATTTCAATCGCTGTCTTCTAGATCTTTGTGAATGATCACCCTTGACAAGCCATATATATATATATACAAGCTTTTTTTCAACACGTTTCCTCTAAATTTGTGGTAATAATGTTTTCTATATCTACATGAACTCTAGATATCTGGGAATGATGACTTCTATGTTGAAAAGCTTTCTATACAAGCATATAAAAGGCTTGAGTTTAAAGCGCTTTCCTCTGGATCTATGTGTGTTTTTATTATCTTTGTAAAGCATTTTTGCAGCATCAGAAATTTATGGAAATGCTGCCCCTCTCTTTGTTTTCTAGACCAACAAGGCTGGAAAGACATTGAGATCATTACCAAGAGATTGCATAGCAAACGGGCTGAGCGGCGTTCCTTGCCAAGGCCCCTCAGGCCGACCTGAACTGCTACAACTACGATGTCGAAGGTAATATGACCATGACCTTTGTCAAAGCCCCCGTGAAGCCAGCCAAGTTCCCCGCAATTGGCACCAAAACGCTGCCAATGTTGCAGATTCGACCTCAGTTGAAGGGCATCAGCCCCCCTGCAGCCGGAACAAAGCCTTGGGATTTGGCTAGTGGCGCGACTGAGACCAAAGAGCGGGGGTGCAGCCCTCGACAATCTAAAGGAGGTATCTCCACGGAGCCCAAGACTGATGCTACCCATCGTTGCCCAATCAACCCAGATGAAGCATGCGCGCAGGGTTGGACAGTTGCGGATTACGGGGGTAATGGCGATTGTTGCTTGCGAGCTCGAAAACACCCAGAGACTTCGAGAATTTTCTGGGGACAGTAAGAAGGAGCCAGTTTGAACGCGCCGGCCACAAAGCTCCTGATTCTCTCCAAGCTTGGATTGAACACATGGAAAAGCAACAAACTGACATTGATGGTTTAGCCCTCCAATGTTTGTCCGAAAAGATGGGTTTATTATGCGTAATGCGCTTTCGGAAAGACAACGGGCTGACTTCAGGGGAGCGGGGGAGGTTTCCTCCGAACCTTCGACTCCTTCTGTGCAAGTCGTCAGTACGTAGGTCCACGGTCCATCCACAGTCGGGATTTCGAAAGATCCACCCCCGCACCTCGCCGCCCGGAAGCCGTCATTTCGCATGCGCGTTCGTCTCGCTGGGAGCCGCTCTGCGAAAGTCTTACAGAGCAAAAAGTCCATGGTGTCTAAGCGCACTCGCGCCGACCTACCTTGACAGCTTTGAGGATTGGCCTATCCCACGAAAAACCAAGCCTGGCTCCAATGTCTACAAAGCCGTCAAAGACAATTTTACTTGGACTTGCAATTTGTGCCATTCCGTGTCTCGGGGTGCTGCTATCACAAAGATCGGCGTTCGGAAGCCAATCATGCAGTTGCAAAACCCGTGCCAATCGCGGCTGTTGCCGACTTAACCAGACGGCTTGGACAAACATTGCGAAAAAGCCGAGTGGCCCATGTCAAAGCCTGTGCCAACTTGAGTGCGTGGTAGCTGTACCCGCGGAAAATCAAGACACCTGAGCATCGCTTTAAAAGCAACAAAAGACGACTGGCTGCTGCTGACCGAATGCCGAAGATAGCCACACAAAGTGGCCATGATCTTTACACGCATTCTTAACTTCAGGTGTACGAAGACAATGGACTTTTACATGTGGGTAACCGTTTGTCTGGGTGGATTGATCTGAGTCGGCCCCTTCAGCCTGCTACACCGAAGAGCGAGGCCATGAGAGTTTCTACAAACCTTTTTCAGTCTGACTCAGGCTCAGATGTATTCATGGCTGTCTGAACCTCCAGAAGATCAAGGTGAAACGATGGAACCAGCAGAAGACGAAGAAAGTGAACATGGCAGAGAACAAATGGAAGAAGGTGGCGTTTGGACTGACTACAGCCGAGAAGTTCCCATGAAGAAACAAGAGCACGACGACTGCTTCAGTATGGGGTGTTCAACATCAGCATCCTTCGAGAGTATGTGAGGACTCGACTTTCCTCACTGTATGGCAGGAGATACCCCTACATGATGGTCGCCCACGAGGACTACTGCGGCTACCAGGTCTTCGTTGACGTAGTTGTGAACGGCAGCTCGAAAGGTGGAACTAGTGAGTCACAGAGCGCGCTCGAAATGCGCCAGGACAGCCAGATCAACTTGGCGCATGAAAGCGCCAAGTCGAGGTGGGGTGTTCGACATTTTGTCACATCCTCACATACATGTTACAGAATGAAAAGCGCTCATCTCGTACGTGCGATTTACGGCTGCAAGTCTTTGAGTCAAGGCTATCTCTGTGTGGCTGCCTTGAAAGCTTTGCTGCCACCCTTGAGCTCCGTGATGCACGATGATGCCTGTCACTTGCACAAGTACACCCAAAGAGGCCATGTCGCCTGATGTTGCTGCGCAAGAATGCGCAGAGCCTGGGCTCCAGCTACAGTGCAGTCACGCAGAACGTGGCTTGAGGATCCAGGCTAGACCTTCAGGAGATGGCTATCCATTGAGACTTCTTGACAGCAAGATGGCCCACCTCCGCTTCAAGCGTTCAAACGGCTCAACGGACCAGCGTATGAGCGCACCAGCAGATCAGCGGACCAGCAGATCAAACAACCACACGATCATGAGTCATGTGCTGGGTGGTTGAATCCGATTGCTGGCGCTCGTGCGCGCAAGCGCGCAAGGGAGCCGTGATGCTCATCGGTCGCAAAGCCAACGTGCACCTCACCGACCTCACAGGCGGACGGAATGGCGCGAAGGGGTGGGGAAAGCATTCACGGCGCTCGCCTTGACAAAGCTTTGGGAGAATCTTCCCCCCCAAAAGGGAGATCGCTTTGAAGTACCGCTGCTGTACGGGGTTCCAAAAATGAAGAGTCCCTCCTCCTCCGAGCTGAGAAGCTTCGCTGTTTTGGAGTCCACTTTATCCGTGATGGTTACTTGAAGGGTTCACACGTGCCGCTTTGATTTTTTCTGGTAAATGGGGTTTGCAAGATCCTTCTGGTGGTGCTTCCAAGCAATGTTTTTTGATCCTTTGAGGTCTTTTTGCCCATTTTCTGCTTTCAAACACCTTCAAATCTCAGTGCCTTGAAGGCCAAGTCACCTCTCAACTTGCCTCTGGACCTGCCGACCTGTCTGCCTCTGCCCACTGACTTGCCAACGCCTCTGCCAGGTTGGTCTGCCTTGCACTACGCCGTCCAGTCAGGCAGCTTGGAGATGGCACCTCGGCAGCTGGGGAGAGACCGGGTGGAAGACTGGGGAGGAATATGATGGATCTGGAAGAGCGGGGAGGTTTGGTGGAAGGTTTGTTGGTGACTTGTACGTCTTGCTTGGAACAAGGCCTGCACATACACTTTTGTTTGATGAAGAGGTCAATGCAACTAGAGGTTTTGAGTGAAGGAAGACTCTTTGAACAAATTGAGAATAGGGGAAACCTCTTCTCGCGCTCTTTTCGTTCCTGAAGGATGTAGAAACATGCAGTCCACGGAAGCTGGCGACAGAAAGTTCCTGAAAGTTGAATGTCCAATGTGGCGAGTGGCTGTGCACCTTCCTTATGAAGACCTCTTCTTTGTCACCCAGAGCATGGTTCCCGCACTGGACCCATTTGTGTGGCTGATTGCTCATACAGGTCTCCATGCTTTCCGCGGCCAAAGCCAACTTGGTGTCTTGGCTTTGCCGCTTATTGGAGGGGCTTGAATTTCCAGAGAGGAAACCTCGACGGGTTTTTCAACGGCGCGGAATGAACACTTACAACTTACCAATGGTCTTCATTGTCAAAGACCCAACTCAGAAAACCAAGGATTTGAAGACAACAACTGTGATTCTGCCTGGTAGAGTTTTTAGGGGGACAAAAAAATAGAAATATATATATATATTATTTGACTGAACACCAAATAACATGTGATTCTTTTCCCGTCCAGTTCAGCGTGGGTTGCTTTACCAACATGTGCGTACCAAGGACGCCTCGACTGCAGTCGTCGGTCGAGAGGACATGCTTTTGCCACCTAAAAGTTCTGAGGATTAGACCAGATGGATCCAAAAGAACCATAGGAAGATTGATCGTGCCCACTTGCATGCTTTTTGGATCAGAGGTTTCGCCAACCCTAGGATGACTGAGGACTCAGCAATATTGACCACAATGAACATTCTTTGCCGCTTTTTTGGAGTGTTTTCAGAGGCTCAGCCAACCTTCGACGGCACCACCACCATGCACCTCGCGGTGAACGCCGACATGATTTTTGCTCGGGCGGATTCTTCGGGACTGTGAGCAGATGTCTTGGTCCAGTGGGGAATCTATGGGATGTGAGCAATGTGTTTGTTGTAGATTGTTTTAGGTTGAACGGTTCAGACCGTGCGGAAAATAACCCAGCCAGGCTCGGTCTGGGCTCGGTTCCATGGCACCTGGGCGAAAACAAGACGCCGCTTCCACAAAAAACCACCTGTGAGACATCAGCTTCTCAGGGCCGCTGAGCACGTGCAAAACATGCTCCGTGGCCGCTGTGGCCCTTGAAAGCACTGTTCATCTCAGGTGCAGCTTCTCTATGCTGGCAAGCCTGGAACTGAGGGACTGAGACCCCACCAGATCCGCGAACCCACAGATCGGCCTGAGAAGACTGATGGGGGAGTAACTGGGGAAGAACCTGGTGGTCGCAAAAATTGGGGCCACAGAAGATCTTTGGATGGTTTGGTTTATTCAAGTCTCGCTAACAGCTACAAAACAACCTATTCCTCCGTTTTTCTTTCTCTTTCGTCTTCTTCTTCTTTGCGCAGCAAATCCTCCCCTGGATTGAACTGTACCCCACTTGTTGCCGTTTTGTTGAAAAGGCTGACAGAGCTGGACAGAGCTGGACAGAGCTGGACACCTGAGGGTGGAGCTGAACACCAACAACTCCAAGAGCTCTTGTCCAGTCCAAGAAGCGGCGAGGCCCCGCGGCTGACGGTCACGGTCACGTGGAGCGGAGGGTGTGCCCTTTCGGAGCGGAGTGAGCATGTTTGGAGAATGTGGGAGAACAGCGCAGCTCTTCGTTTTGCCAATGTCCGTGTTGCGCGAGAGATTGCTATGCACTTACTTCATCTTACTTCCTACTGCAAAACAAGGCTCTCTTGGCGGCCGCAGCGTCTTTGCTCGGCCCACGGGCCATCCATGGGTTTTGAATCAGTGCAATTATATAGTGCCCTAGCTACTAGTAACGTTCTTGCTACTAGTAGCGATGCCCTTTGTTACTAGTAGCGTCCTTGCTCCTTGTTTTTCAGGTGGGGATGTGCCGAGTCACTGCAGGCGAGCTGTGTTTTCATGGCATGGGAAAGGCGGTCTGTTGGGCTGTTGCCTTGGTTTAAAGACCCAGCAAGCCAATGGGTTTCCCGTCAATGAGTCTGTTCAGTTCTTTTTTAAATATTGGGCTAGCCGCTAGCCGCCTTTGATTTTGGACTCACAGCCATAGAATTTTCTCGCGTGGGAAGACAGTCAGTCTCTTTGTGACTCGAAGATTTGGAAGGCCTCTGATTGAGGCATTCTTGATCTTTGCTGCAAAGATGTTTGTTTTTTTGTGTGTTTGAAGACCAGATTCAGAGGACGTCATATGGAAATCATCATTATGTGGTCACCCCCAATTGGACCAGAAGTTGGGTGCCCATTTAGTTCTTCTCAGCTAAGCCAACAAGAGAAACCTTCCAAGAACCAATGACAAGAGGGGATTCGCCTCCTAAAAGTCTTCGAGGCAAAGCTACTTGGAACACCTGCCAAGCCCCAGGTCCTTTTGGCCTATCGTGCCAATCCGCGAGTGTCCAAACCTCGGAGAGTCTGGAGGAGACAGAGCGGTCCATGTGACAGCATCGATGTCAGACAGGACCCGAGCCTATTTTTCCAGGTACCTTTATAGTGAACAACTGCCCCTCAAATTCCTAAAGATGATGCAGTGGGTGACTGTTGCTGAAAACCATGGCCTTTCCCTGCCTTGGCGGAAAGCGCACGATCCACATCGAACGGGAGATGCACTTGAGGAAAGACAGCAAGGGTCGCTCCTTGCTAGCCATCTCGGTGGTTGGGAGCCTCGGACCCATATGGCAAGCCTCATGCCCTCCGAAGCGCGAGACGAAGCATGAGAGGCTTGCCATGTGTGCTTTCGCATAGGTTTCGGTGTGAAGATGGCCGGATGGCTGCTGGGAGATTGGATCGAATCATGACTTGCCTCCTTGTTCAAGAAAGAGGTCAGGCAGCTCCTGCTTTTTGCATTGACAAAACCCAAAGATATCTCGAAGCGAGGTGATTCGTTTCATCCTCCAGCGATTGGGGCGTTTTGGAGGCGCTGTCCGCTGTCTTTTCTCGCCGCTCCGCCTAAGGCGGCGGGCCGGAACGAGGCGGCGAGCGCACTGCTGCGGCCCTTGCCGAATCCTGCGCCGCTGGTGCCGCCTGAGAACGAGCGAGCGTGGGCCCCCGTTCACGGGGAGCCGGACGGGTGCCTGGCCGAGTGAAGCAAAGAAGCAGGTTTCGATCACCGTTTGGCGGGATGGTTGTGGGTGGCTTGTTGGTGGAGCTTTTTCATGATGTTTTGAGGGATCTACTTTCAAGGTTTCATGTGAGCTTTCGGGGGTGTAGCCACTAGTCGATTTTCCTCTTGACCATCCTCTAGAGCTTTCGGTCACCTCATGCACGCTGCACACTTTTTCATGAAAGAGTTGCACCTCAGATGCCATGGGTTGGGGGGTCGTTTTCTATATCAAGTGAGGTGTTTCTTCCTTCGCGCATCCGGAGGCCATCGTCACCGCAAAGGGGAATGCTGCGGACTTGGTTCTACTGATAGAGTCAACTTTAATTCACTGCAAGAGTAAAAAGAGGATCTCCATTGATCTCCATGAGAATCATGCCTCTCTGAAGCATTGATATTGTTGATGAGGCAACACACGACAGCAAAGAGCTGCTGGCGAAAGCTCCCCTCTTAGTCACAGTCATTGATTCTTTTTGGATTTTAGTCACAGCGATGTCTGTGGGTCACAGTGAATCTCCACCTCTTGAAATGCTGAGGGCATTTTGCTGCGAAGAAGGTATTTGCAAGCAATGGCAGAGCGGGCTCAACGAGCCAGGAAGAAGGAAGAAGAGGCCCTGAAGGCAAGGCGGAAACGCCTGGATAGCACTTCTCTCAAATAGATCAGAACCCCAAAACAGCGCAAAAGTATTCGTTCACTTGTTTTTGTACCTATCAAGACCCGTTCTAAAGACCAACCCCGCTGAAACGCAGCGGGGTCCTTTCTTGGGACGAACATCATGCTGAATCGCACGGTTGGTGCTAGATTCTAGCAACTTCACCGTCGGTTCTGTTGGAAGGCTGAGAGGGAAGCTGCCGAGAAGGCTGCTCTTCAAGCAGAGCTCGAGCGCGCCGTTCGCGAGGATGAGAAGCGCAAGGCTCAGAGGACCATGAGCGAAAGGGGCGAACAGGGAGATGCTGTCCGGAGATTTGGTTTCTAGGAAGAGACATGTGCTTTAAGAGAATGTTCCAACCATTCAGTGTAGGGTGGAGATGCAACATTTTGATCCAAGTCGTTTGAACCAAGAACTGAAATGAACAGGTCCGAGGGGATCCTTGTTGAACATGTTTTGGGAATCAGAATAGACATGCCACGGTCTTGAATCGTGCTTGTCCATCGAATGAGTGACAGCTGCCAGCTGGTTTCCGGTCTATATTACCCCTACCAAAAAGGGTGTAGTGCGTTGTTCACTCCAACATTCGATCGTCGATCCACCGTATGAGTTTCTGGAAGTTGCAGGATTTTTCCTTTATTAGTTAAAGCTATCCGGAACAGACATCCCGCTAGTGAAGGTTGGTCCTTTTGTGCGTCCCATGTTTCCGCCTTGGTCCCACCACTCTTGGGATTACTGTACGAGCATGTTCATGGGTTGACCTACAGAGGCACTGCTCGACTTTGATGTTTCGGAGCTTTTGTCGAAGGTGCAGAGGCCGATTGACATGGCTCTGTAGCCAACCAACCCACCAAAGCAACCAAGCAAGAAAGCGACAAACAAGCCAACCAACCAATTATACTGAGTTATAGTCAGGCAGGACTCCCTAAACAATATGGCAAATGCACAAATCCTCATCCTTCCCAAGCATCAACCAATTCATCCACCTTGTTCCGGCCAGGAAGGGTAAAGGCAAGCCCAGCGACCTCCCGGGCCCTCCGGTCCCTCCGGGCCCGGTGACGGACCGTGCCGAGACGGCCCCGCGCGAGAGCTCCAAAGCCGCCAGCAAGTCTTCGGAGGTGGAGCGGTTCGTTCGGCGTTCGGAGGACGGCCGACGCGACCGGATTGGTGTGGCAAGGGGATGATAGACCAGGCCACTTTCCGGTCGACACATCAGAAGGGCCTGCAGGAACGTTGAAATTGTATATACATTTGTATTCTTCTAAATTTTTCTTGGCCTGGAAGCCGGCTGTTGAACCTGATCCGATTCTTGGTGACTCTGTGGCTTCCCTGCACTTTTCCCAGGAAGTACTCAGCAGATCATCAGAGTTGCAGGTAAGCCCAAACAGGTTTACCTGCAAGGTTCTCTGAGAGGGCGCTTTTGCTGGTCGTAGGGTTTTCTCTGCTAGTCTCCGGTTGTGCTGGGTTGCTTGCGTTGCCTCTTCGATCAAGTGGAAGGACATTGAAGCAGTGCTTGCCAACCAATCCTATGTACTTGCCTTGCGCAACTCCTGCGCATTATGCAGCCGACTTTCCAAGACGCCGGGCGATCTCCTCCTCCTCCTCCTCCTCTTCCTCTCAGACCATGCTGCTTAAAATAATCATGCACTGAGTTTCAAAACCTGGCCAGTGGGGCCAACAGAGGTGGTGTCTGCAGAAGTACCTTGAAGAAACGTCGACACTGTGTCGTTTACCTTCAAATCCTCCTTTTGATGGAAGCCACAAAGGACCTAGAAGACCATTTGGCTTCTCCCACAGAGCCCGTGCCATCACCGCCTAATTGCTCGGAAAATCCAGAATGGTGGAGGCATTCAGCATGGCATTCCATTTGGCATCGTGTGAACTTCATGGAGCACATGAAGGCTCAGGATGCGGACACACTAGGGCACTAGGGCCAGATTCACGAACTGTTTCTGAAGGATGCTCAATGCCGACAGGCCGAGCCACAAACGAACCCGACCCACGAGAATGGGAAGGCACTTGAGAAGATGCAGAATGCCCTGAGCCTGCAACTCTCAAGGACGAAAGTCAACTCCAATTTGGACCAGTGCCGCACAGTCTTAGGAACTCTTATCGGATCCTGCCGTGGATGTTGACCACTGCCACCACGTGGAAGAAGGAAAAAGACAACCGACCTGTGCTGCCAAGACACTCTTTGGGTCGCTCTGCAGGATCTTGGTACTCTTCACAGCTGGCTTCAATCATGGAGGAACAGTCACGGGAATGCCGCTCATGAGTTCTTGAAGGACTTTGAATTGGACGCATCAACCTTGCATGGGCGGAGTTTGGTCCAGGAAGAAATTAACGGATAGCTTCAGTTAAAGACACAGGCTCAGCACATATGCCGTCTTCAGTGGCCTTGTGCAGTGAGCACGCCGACAATGACTCTTCAGGAGCCGTTTGATCAATGGTCCATCCGAGCAAGACCATACTAGTAGCTTGCTCCCAGTAGCGATGCCCTTGTTAGCTAGTAGCGATGTCAGGAGCTACTAGTAGCGTCCTTGCTCCTATGTATCTCGGCATTGTCACAGCATTTCACCATGACAGCGCGATGCTTTGCTTGACCGGTCCAACGAATCGAGTCGCTTGGAAAAGACTCCATGGTCTTTCCACTTGGGTGTGGAGACAAAGGTTCAGATTCCTGTGTTCACACATGGCTCGTCCACTCAGGTGTGGAAAAAGGTGTAGGTCTGGCGTGCTGTGCAAGATGCTCAAGGCCACTTGCAGGCCACGCAGCTACGTGGGCGGTGCGCCGGATCGACGATCAAATCGACATCAAAATGGAGAAAAACACGACGAAAAAGCTCGACTGCGCAAGTGGCTCATTAATCCTTCGGTGGGGGGGCTTGCTTGCGTGGGTCGCCTCTCTTGCAGCTGTGTCTGGTTGTTTTGGGTGCGGTGTCTCTGGCTGTCTCTAATTAGACTGTTTCAGCACAAAGAGCTTAGCTAGACTGACCTTTGTGACCTGTGCAAAACAAAAAACATCATGGTGTTTGTTCTCCTGTGTTTTGTTTCCCTGTTCGCCCATAGCGGAGGTGGCCATCGCCGGAGGTCCCGAACGCTTCACGGCTGCTGATGCCAAAGGCCGGCTGCCGGTGCATGTGGCTGCGCTCTCCCGGCGCTTAGATACCATGAGCCTTTTGTGGCTGGTCAGCACCGAGAATTGTGGCAAAAACACATGGTCCCTCTCCGCCCCTGACTGACACTGGTGGCGAAGACCCCCGAAAACGAATGCCTGCCAATGAATGGTTGCAGAACCGAACCCCTTTTGAGTTCTTACGGACTTGGTCGATACTGGCTTCATGACCATGGGGGAGAATGGGCACTGTCGAGGCGGTGCGTTCTGTTTGCACCCGTTCATCAGACATGTTTGTCTTCCTGCACGTGGTGAGAACTTACGATTTAATGTTCTTTCGCCTACCCTAGTAATTATGTGGCCATCCAAGAACTGACCTAAGAACGGACATTGTTAAAACCACACTTCATGGTCATCACCATCTCCGTTGTCACCAGCTCAAACCCAAATAACACTCAGATTTCTTAGCCTTTGTGCAGATATCCCATGAATGTGGCCTAGTTTTGGAATCGTTCTTGCTCGTGTTTTTGTGTTTATTGCAAACATGTATTTTTCCGAACCAGCTCCTTGGAGAGGATAAAGAATCGCTTGAAGGCAACGGTCCAGTTTTTTGGTCGTGAATCTCTTGAAGTACAGATTCTTAGCTCTTCTCAAAAAACACAATCTATCCAAAAGTTGATGTTGGATATCAGATGATATAAGGCTTTGGGGTCCGATTTCGAGACACCCAAGCATCACAGCACAAGACCCCTGCGTGCAGCGGGCGCCCGAGGTTGGACTTGGAGGCCGATGTGAACGCCTGTGACTCGGAGGGCAACACGCCACTGCAGCTCGTGGCCCGAACGGATGATCGCTGGATGGTGGAAGTGCTTCTGACCTATGGCGCAGATCCAGAGCTCACCAACTCCAAGGGAGAGACATGCTTCGCCTTTGCCAGTCAAGTGATGAAAGATTACATCAACAAATGGGTGCAGCAGAAGAGATTTCGTGGACTGGTAGAGTTCCCCTTACCTCCCAGTCCTTTGCATGCACTCTATCGTGTCAGGGTGGATTGTATACCCATGCTAATGTACCAGGAGGAACTTGAAGAACAGGTTCTAAGCTTCTTTGCCAAGTTGGAGTTTGAAAAGCCCCTTCGCGTGATTGTGCCGCGGAACCCCATCCACGGCTGGCCTTTGGGCTTTTGTTACGCTGACTATGCTGAGAAGCAGCACGCCCTCGACATTTGCAAAGCGGCGAAGGTTGAGGGCATTTTCATGCAGCGCCGCCGGCTGAATTTGACCAATCAAGGCGCGCACTACCAGTACAAAGAGAACAATGAGAATCAGCTTGATCAGACCCAGGCTAATAAGGCCTAGGCCCGTAGGACATGAACCAAAAAAGACGCTGAGGAGATCCTTCTGCAAAGCCACGGGTGCAGTGTTAAAAGTTGATATCGCAAATCAGATGGCAATTTTGATGCAATAAATTGCACCATCAAAAAAGGTAGTATGTACCCTATCAATAACTGCTGTTTTGCTAGAAGTGCCACCAATCACGAAGGCTCAGCAGAAAGAGAGAGGGACAGAGAGAGAGAGGGAGAGAGAGAGAGAGAGAGAGAGAGGGAGGGAGAGAGAGGGAGAGGCAGGGAGAGACAGGGAGAGACAGGGAGAGAGAGAGAGAGAGAGCGAGCGAGCTCACGTGTATTGTTTTTGAATTGAGATGGTACCAAAGGAAGTATCTGCAATCTCAATGATCCTTACATGGCATCATTTCAGCGGGTTTCAACTGGATTCGACCCCGCTTTCAAGTACTGGCCTGTCAAAAGAAATTCTGGAACACTTCACACCGCCCCGCCCGGAACACCCAAAAAGCATTTTTTGACTTCGAGAAAGGTTGGTGTGACATCGTGCCAAGTTGATCCCAAGAGCTACTAGCGTCCTTGCGCCTAGTTGTGACTGGTAGTAAGGCCAGGAGCCCCTAGTAGCATCCTTGCGCCAAGTAGCGATGCCCTTTGTTCCTAGTAGCTTCTTGTTACTAGTAGTATTGTATATAGAAGGATTAGAGTTGAGAGTATCCCACAAGAATGAGAGGCTCGTACGCTGCGAGAGCAATCACTGACTGTAGCTTTCACTTAACATTCTGACAAAATACGGCATTTCGCACCTCGGCCATATTGAAGCTACCGGTTGATAGCGCGGGAGTTGCGACTTTTCTTTTGCTTGGCAACAGCTTTTCAGTGAGATCAGATGGCTTTGCATGTGGCTATTGGTGCTCAGCTACACGACAAAGGAGCAGAGGATACCCCCATTTCATTTTCTCAGGCACTTGGGGCTACCATGAGCAGTCATCGCCTGGTGTAACAACAGGCCTGCGTTCTTTGCAATTTTTTGCATTGACTTCTCCTCACACGACGCCCTCAACCTGTTCACAATGACTGCACACCGAAGGGCAACTGATTTTGGGCCGACATGGGTTGATTCAGCTGTCAAGAGGGTGACAAGCCTGGAGCCATCAAGAAACACCATAGAAACCGTGGTTGTCCTGATGTCAAGTATTGCCCCAGATTTTTACATTCACAGACAAAGAACTGCTCGCTCAGGGTGGTGGAAACCTGCTTCAGACCTAATGCAATTACGACGTACAAGCAGAGGTTGTTATTCTGATTGTATCTGATTGTTATTTCATATACTGTAGATATTATTAGGAGTATATATTACTATTACTTTTTTGAACACACACTCTGTTTTGTACAAGGTCTACTAGTATAATATACAAATGTGCAGTCTTGAAGGAGATGAGGTCCGTAGTCATGATCCTGCATCAGTTGCATGCACTGCAGATCTGCGTTGGATTTTACAAGCCGCTGTTGAAGTATCGTGCCACTGTGGCGTCATGGCCGATGGGTGGCAATGACTTCAAAGGAGCCAGGGTCGACTTTGTGACAACTTTTCTGCACGAAAAGAGCTGTGTTGTAAGATTATCATGGATTTGTGAGTTTACCATTCTTTATCATGGATACTGTATATATTTATATATAATTTTGGGATTTGAATGATATTGAGCCGGGACATTTACTTGTACCTTGTTGGGATATGATTCACTGTGATTGGAGATAGATGGTTTGGTTGGATTTCCACATCATTGGTAGGCCGGTCGTATGTTGTATGATGTTGTATGTTCCTTTTTGGGATGATTTTGGATGTGATCTTCCGACTGAGCCCCGGTCCGCCAAACCGGTTTTGAACAAACCAAATCATTGGCTTTGGGCAGATCATCCCTTTCACTGGACACGAACTGCCCAACCTAGCTTTTGATGGATTCATGATTTCGGTTGCCAGATGATCACTAGAGTCACTAGGGGAGACTGACTGGCTTTTTCCGACTGTGCCACACGAATCCCCATACGACCCATCGAAGCTGTTGTCCATGTAAACATTGCGCTGGGTTCACAGGAGGCCTCTGACTTCACAAAGGACTGGCCAGAGCTGCAATTGAAGGCCAGATGGTTTGGGTTTCGCCGTTTACAGCGCCGCTTTGAAGATGTCGTTGAGTGATGGGGATCGCACGGGGATTGCATGAGTCAATACCGACTGAGAGAGGTTTTAGGGGTTGTCCAAGGGTCTACATGAGTCAGTTCTAGAGGCACAAGCGTCGCTCCATGGAGAGGCAAGCTCGGCCGACTACTACTTCGAGTCCTATAACCACTATGGTGTGCATGAGGAGAACGGCAGCCTTGCCCTTGACCAGTCTGACGACATAATACGGATGGAGCGGTATGCCGACTCGAGGTATGGCGACGGTCCCCACACAGCGAAACGATTTGTGGTTGCTTGAGCCTGAAACAACACGTCTGAACTCCTAAACAGTCCCCCACCACGGTTTTGCGTTGACAAGACTACCTGCACTGTTGGCGGAGTTTGCAGTTTCCTTCAGGGTTTGAGGAGTTGACAAGAGAGGTACTGTATCCCGTAGGGTCGTAGAGCACTCCCTGAAATAATCATGGAAGTGGAGTTCACCGCCTGTTGGGCATTTAGATTTCATATGATTTCATGGTCAACTGAAATCGGGATCATGCCATCCACATAACCATGATGATTCTAGGGGTGACTCATGTTTTTGGCCTTTGCCCGGTAGGACATCTTCCAGGATGGAGTGACCATCCAAGCATTTCAGCAGGCGATCCTGCAAAGCCCGAAGCTCAGCTGATCCAGGGCTTGTCCCCCACCAAACCATGGTAGGTTGGCATCCCTCAAAAGAGGAATCTGTTCATTTTCGGTGGCCAACCAGGGTTTTAACCCACAGCCAAATACAAATACTGTAATTGAAAGGACCAATAGAGTCAATATGATTGTAGGGGCTTACCACTGCCGATTTATCAAAAGTCTCCATTGTAGTTTGGGACTGCAGAACTTGTGTGGCGACTGGTTCCTTTGAGATGGGTCTCGCGACTGGTGTCCCTGCTGACCTGTGGTGTGTCGGGTCGTTTGCCGCTGAGATTCCCACATGTTTGAGGGGAAAGTCGTCTTGGAGGTGGCGGTCCAGTGCAGGGCAGGGCAGTTGGGAAGGGTGACGTGACTCTCGGAATGGCTTCTGTGACATGACTCTCATGTCCAAGCACATTCTGAGAGTCCAGTCCAGTCATTGGATTTTTCATATTTTTTCCCAAACAGTGTTGCACCCACGTGTCCGGTTAATTCGCTGCTATTTACAGTACATTCATGCCTCTTGAAATCCTCGAACCGCATTTCGACCGCGCAGGCTCGCAAAATCTGGTTGGCTGGAGCGGGTGCTTGTCGCGACTGCGCTCTTGTTGTGGTGCCGTGCGCATTTCCGGACATGGCGGTCACTTTTCGTGGCAGGCGCAAGGGGCACCTCGTGTTTTGATGGTCCAAAGTCGATTTTTCGTGACAGATGCAAGGGATCGGAGTTTTACTTCGACATGCAGATTTCGTGGCAGGCGTAGCACTGTGGACATGGTGGTGATCTTGGACGTGCTCTAATTTCGTGACAGGTGCAGTGAATCATGACTTTTGGACATGTGGGTCGTTTTCAGAATTCGTGGCAGGCGCAGCACTTTGTGAACCTGAAGTGCAGATTTCGTGGCAGATGCAGTGCTTTTTGTGGACCCTGAAGTGCAGATTTCGTGGCAGGTGTAGTACTTTGTGGACCTGGAAGTGCAGATTTCGTGGCAGGCCCAGCACTTTGCGAGCATCGAAGTGCAGATTTCGTGGCAGGTTGCAATGGTTTGCAAACCTCGAAGTGCAGATTTCGTGGCAGGCGCAGCACTTTGTGAACCTCGAAGTGCAGATTTCGTGGCAGGCGTAGCACTTAATTTGTGCTGTCGGATGCTCTGTCTCTCACTCACACTCTCACCCTCACTCTCACCCTCACTCTCACTCTCACTCTCTCTCGTTCTTTCTCACACTCTCTCTCACTCTCTCACGCACGTGCGCGCCCGCCCCACCCACGCGCGCGCCCGCACGCCCGCCCCGCGCCACCACGCCGCC